AAGGACGTGTTACGGGCTGAACTGCATCCCCCAAGTTGCCATGTTCAGTCCTAGCCCTGAGCACCTCCAATATGACTGTACTTGGGGAGAGGGTCTTTACAGAGGGGTTAAGGTGAAATGAAGTACTGGGGGGAGGGGGGCCCTGATCCAGTGGGACTGGTGCCCGTACAAAAGGGGATCAGGACAGAGACATGCACAGAGGGACGACCAGGTGAGGGAGGGCATGGGGAGGCCAAGGAGAGAGGCCGCTGGAGATACCAGCCCTGCCCACGCCTGGATATCACACCTCCAGCCTCTGGAGTTGACAGAAAATAGATTCCTATTGTTCAGGCCGCGCACTGTGTGATTCTCCAGGGCAGCCCCAGCAAACTGGTACAGAACTGGAAATTCCCAAGAGGAAAAAAATAAATTATGGCTATGGGGCGCTTGGGTGGCCCAGTCGTTAAGCATCTGCCTTCGGCTTGGGTCATGATCCCAGGGTCCTGGGATTGAGTCCCGCATTGGGCTCCCTGTTCAGCGGGAAGCCTGCTTCTCCCTCTCCCACTCCCCCTGTTTGTGTTCCCTCTCTGGCTGTGTCTCTCTCTAATAAATAAATAAAATCTTTAAAATAAATAAATAAATTATGGCTAGTAAACTTTGAAAATGTCCCCTTCATATAAATATTCTATTTTACGTATCAAACTGGCCAAGATGAAAAAAAACCCATTAATGTCGATGCTGGGGAAGGTGGGGTGACTGGGCACCGCTGTCAGGAGGGCTGACTGACACAGCGTTCTGGAGGGGGAGTGTGACAAGTAGGCGAAGAACTCGGAAATGTTCTAGCACCTTCTCCCAGTTATTCCGCTTCCAGGCCTCTATCCTGAGGAGATCATCAGAAACGCTGTGAACATTCACCTCTAAGGACATCAGTCACATCATTATTTCTGACTGCACAATTTGGGAGATCATCCATATTTTTTTAAATTTTCAATTATAATGTATTTGCATTTAAACATTACATTATTGGGTTGAACCTGTTCGCACCCTGGGCATCCAAACAGTACTGAAGTATACAGAGAGAGTCTGCTTTCAGCAATGTGGTAAGCCAGATGTCCTGAAAAATCTTCCTGTTAAGACATCCAAAACTAATAAATATGGTATCAAAAAAAAGAAAACCTAAGTGCATGGTTGAATCAGCAAGCAAGAAGGAGAAATTATAGAGATTTAAAAGGAAACAGGAACAGTAAGAGTTGAGATGAAGCCCAGGGCAGCCCAGGGATGGGAGCAGCCGACAGACCCGCAAGGCTGGGTGTGCTCATCTGGCATTGGGGAACCCTTCCACACACGCACCAGGAGGCGAGCACCAGGATGCTGGAGACGCTACAAACGTCCTGGTCGGGTGTGTGCAAAAACGGACAGCGAGGGTGTGTACGTAGGAAAGATTCGTGACGTGGGAAGAGAAGAGCCAAGTCGCAGAAAAACACGCGACAAGAGTTTGTATGAAATCTAAAAACATGCAGCACTAATATTAGATTTTTGGGCTTAAATTTAACTCTAGGAAAGTCATACAGAAAACTGAAGGAGAGATAAACACAAAATCCCTTGGGGGGCCTGGTGGGCTGTCCATCCTAGATGGGGCAGCAGGGACACGTGCGGGTCACCACCGCTAAACATACATGCAGTACGATGAAGAGGTTCCCTTTTAAGTAGGAAATATTTTATAATTAAAGTATTAGAAAAATGATTAGAAGAAAAAATATTAACATTATCTTTGGGCAGTGGAATTGTGGGTGATTCTCATTTTCTTCCATTTGTTTGAATTTTCTGTTTTTTAAATTTAGAGTGAATGTGTTATTTTTATCTTATGATTGTCCTTTTTGATTATAAATCTTTCAAACATACACAAAATACTGAGAATAATATAGATGGGACACCCAAGTATTCATCGCACCAACTGAACAAATCTTGCAATTTTGCCAAATTGGACTGTTTTTGTTTTGTTCATATGAGAGAGAAGATGAAGCAGAAAAAGTTGAGGCCATCCTGTGGCCCACCGGATCCTCTTCCTCAGAGGCAACTCGGGGTGTCTTCCTGTCCGTGAGTGCACACTTTCACGTGTGGACCCATAAATGATAACAATAATGCTCATAAAGGTTTAAATGTACAGGAACTGCGTGTATTCTCCTGCAACTTGTTTTTCTTCCCTTGAATGGATGCTTGTAAGATTTCCTCATGTAGGCTCATGTAGATCTTGGTCATTTCTTTAACCGCTATCATGTTTTCTGCTGCGTGAAGAGCCCACCATACACCTTTCTGTCACCCGACGGATGGACACTCGGATGTCCTGTTATCAAAAGCCATGTGGCAGGAGCGTCCCGTGCGTGTCCCCTTGGGTATAGGTGTGAGGACTCCAGGCTTAAGACCTGACGGGAAGGGCCTCCGGGATGCGGAGGACAGACGTGCTCCCTCGCCCAGACATTCCAGATCATTCTCCAGGAGCGTACGTGTGTGTTTGCCCACGTCCCCGTCTCTCCCAGGTAGTACCTGAGTTAGGGCTCCAAATCTGAATGATGTAAATGCTACCCCACTGTGGTCTGAATTCTCTGTTCACGGTGCTTTTTCAGTCAGACGTACAAACGTTAGAGATGCCCTTCAAAGTGAGTGACGAGATCTTACCTTCGGACAGTGAGACTCATGTGATGACGGTGGGCACAACCAGGCAGGGACGGGCGTGGAGGGAGCTTGCAGGTGGAGGTGACATCGAATGTGACTTTAGAGGCACAGAAGGGGCAAGGGACCAGCAAGCACAGTGGGCTGGCCCTGACTGAGGCCAGAACCTCCCCACGGTCGCGAGGGGGACCCGGGATGAGTAGTTCAAAGCCATGGCTACGAAATAAGAGCGCATGTCCGTCTGTGGTAAGAGAGGAACGCACGTGAAACCCTCACTGGCCTCCCATCCCTCTCCCATGGGGTCCTCCTGTCGGGATGATTCCTGTCGGCCCAGGATGGCTACAGTGAGCGTGGAGGTGGGCACAGAGTCTGCCCAGCCGCAGTGCCGGGGCAGAGGGCAGAGGCCGTGGCAGGGGCGGCAGGAGCAGAGGCTGCCAGGCCCGGGGCGGGTGGGGATGGGGCCTCCCTCCTCAGCAGGCCGGGGACACTCTGCTTCCTGGAGACTCCGGGTACTGTGACAGGTCAGAATTCACATTTTGTGCTCCAGAGAGGTTTCCTGTCTCATGGCAAGCTGGGGACGCCCCCTGGGTCATCAGTTTAGCCCTGCTCGGTCCAGAAGAGACAGCCGGGTGCGGCGCTGAGGGGCTCCGGGAAGCCTCTGGCCCAGCCATACGCTCCGTAGACCATCTCCCGCCCCAGGTCTGGAGCACAAGGCGCTGGGCCTAACACGTGTCTGTGATCCTGCCTCATCCAGACGGGATGAGAATACACACTTCACCAGCAGCTTCTTCCGCGGCTCATCGTGGTTTTAAAGTAGCAAGAACTGGCAGTTTCGAAGGTCACCCAATTCAGAAATACTGTACTCTTAGCAAAGTACCCCGCCCAGCAACTCTAGGAATCGCAAGAGGAAGGGCCAGACAGGAGGGCCCCAGCCTTGCAGCAGACGACGTCGGTATGCCCCAGGCTCTGTCCTCCCCGTGTTCATGGAACAAGAACTCAAAAAATATTTGCCTCTCTGTCTAGTTATTACCTAAAAGGCAAACCTGATTAGGTCACTTTGTAGCTCAAAGTCCTGGGGTGACTCCCTATTGCCCTCAGCAGAGAGTTTTTTTTTAAAAAAATTTTTTAATGAAGTGAAACTGTTTTTCAAACCAAATATTAGAATCCTAACGTCAGAGGCAGGTGTAAGTGGTGAATTTTACTACCTGTCTATAAGCTCAGGTTTATAATCTTCCTGTAAACCATCCCACGCACAAGCTAACACATGTGGGGGTCCGTTGCAAGTCTGGATTAGGGCAACACCCTATCGGATGCTGGCCTGGGTCTGGAGAGTAGACCGAGCTTGGGACCCTGGCTGTTGGATCCCTGATTTCAGCATCTGGGCCCCCGGGCACTCCCTGCATGGCAGAGCCGGCCATCCCCAGCCATCTCCGGCCGGGCCCCAGCCCACATCTCCAGGCTGGGGTCCGTCTATATTCCCATAGGCACCAGGCATCCGTCTGGCTGAGTGGACGCCCCACCTCCCTTCCTCCAGGACTCGAGAGGCCACTCATCGGCAAGATCCAGCCCGGGGGACCTGCTTGTGGAGCATCTCGTGAACTGTTATTAGTCACCTATCACGTTGCATTGTCCTTGGGCCTCTCCCCGATGGTGCTGTGAGCCACTCACTCACATCCTGAGGACGGGCGCATCTTCTCTCCTTACTGCCCACCATGCACGCAATGCCGTGCATAGGGGAGGCCCTAAATTTGTCATGGTGAAAGGGTGACTAAATAAGGGAACCAATGATTTTTTTTTTTAAATAAAACCTGCCGCCTTTGGGGAGCTAAGAAAAATTAAGGCTTTTCATCAATGCTATCAGAGACACCCCCCTGAACGAAACGTTAAAATAAACAATTTCTCGGGGACCCAAGGCACACAATTCACTCTGGAAACTTCTTAAAAGGATGAGGTGAAGGCCCTGCAGCCAAGGATGTTTCCCAGAACTTGGGAGCGAAGCCCAGGTCTCTGGCTCCCATGAAAAATGACGCTGCTTCTTCCCAGACGCCCATGGAAACAGCCTGGTTATTTCAGAGCTGAAGGAAGGGCCAATTACAGATGGTTTTGTTGTGAATCACGAACAAATGGAAGAAATTCTGGGTTAACAAAATGTAAATTTCAATCTGCAAAGAAACCTCAGCACACATTTCACAAGACAGTAGAGGGTCCCACATTTCTCAGCGCAGAAAAGGCAGGGTTTTTGTTGTTGTTGTTATTGTTCAACCTCTTTGACATGTAATAAAAACAGATGGAATCAATGTAATTGCTACTTCCCCGAGCTATGATCTCTTTAATCACGGCTGCCTCCTTACCCAGAATGATGCCATTGGGCTCCTCCGGCGGCTGCCACACGATCCTCACGGACGTGAGTCTCACTTCCGGGAACACAAGCCTCACTGGCGGGCCTGGGGCTGGAGGGAGGAGAGGAAACCCGTGAGCCAGGTGCCACTACGGTGTTAGGGGGGAACATGACGAGGTTACATAGGACTCTGTGGACTGGCCGAGCATTCGCGACCGTGGGTGTCTCTGTTCATGGACCAGACGCTCAAGGCCATGAATGACTTTTGGAATCTAGCTGGCTCCATGTGGCCCCCTAATGATGTTGAGAAAACACCTCATTTAGAATCCAGCTCATCTGCTTTTCCAACTTCCAGAAGCGGTGCTCACAAACCGTGCCGGGAGCCCGTGAGTGCAAGGGGCGTGAGGCCGCAAGCACATCAAGCCCGAGGTCAAGATTCCGCCAATCTGGGCTGAATCCTTCTGGGGGCTTGACACCTGCCAGCAGGTGTTAGATAAATCAGACGGCCTAGAGTCCCTCCCCACTGACAAAGTGACATGTTTACAACGAATGATTTTTCTCCTATGCACCGTCTTAGAAAATGAAGAGTTGATGCGCCCACATGCGCAGAATAATTCTGTGTGGTGTGACGCCATTGCCTACCAGTGTCATAGCCCTCGTAGGTATATTTACTTAAATGGGTAGGCGAGTGAGTGTCAGAACTTCCGGTTGGAACTTAATGGATTCCCAGATAAGAGGCAATGGGCTCGGAACAACAAATACAGAGGTAGGATGCTGTTTGTTACGGTCATTCCAGGGCCGCTGAATTCTGCCTCTGGCTATTAAGCGGAGAACAGTATTTAACATTTTAAATCCGTGTTTAAATAAATCTGTGACCCTTGCATTTGGTAACATAACCGTAAGGAGGCTACAGGCTCGCACGCAAGGACCAACTGCACAAATATGCAAATTCTGACAGCAGCCTTATGCGGCTTCTGTCCCCTGCGCCGTCCCTGCGGCTGAGCACCTGGATCACACTGAAATGAGGGAGTGGAAAGCATGCTTCTACTCGCACCGTGGGAGAAGAAGGAAAAGCATTCTGTGAATTCCAGTCTCTACTTTAGGACGAGGCAGTTGTGATTGGCCAAGGCTGGAGGTCCGTTTGTGTAACCCGGGCCATCATGTCTTCGCACAGTTCTGCAGACAACCTCGAGGCCACTGCCCCCCGTCAGGCCCCGGCCCCCCGAGGCTCTGCATCCAGGAAAGGACAGTGTGCAGTGCTCCTAACTCTCCCCGACTGAAGCCCAGCGCTGGTGCTGTCTCCCAACAGAACACAGAGAACCGGTCTGCTCAGCAGCCGGAGCACCGTGGGGGCTAACTGAATGACTTCCGCAGACGTGTGTCAGGAAATCTACGGTTCTTCCACTTCTGAGAGAAGCTTCTGATCCCTAAGGTGGGTGTGTGTGTGTGGGGGAGAGCAGTATTTTCCCCCAGAATATACTCCCCCCTCCCCGACTATTTGCTATAGTCCATGTAACAATACAAATGTAAAAAGAGATAACCTTTAAGTGTTTGACATCTGCAAAGTGGAAAACCGTATTTGCTGATGATTTAGACTTCTGTAAAAACAGAGCCGTCAAGAGGTCCTTGTTATTCCGGCCTGGAGGCACGAGTGTGGGGAGTCGGGGAGCCCGTGGAGCCCGCCTCACTCCGTGCAGGAACTTCTAGGAACCTCTTGGCGTGCAGACCACAGGAGCGGGTGCACCATGGAAATCGAGGCACCCAGGCTGGGAGTGGGGCTCTCACCCCGACCTGTGCGGACACCGCCACCCAGAGCAGTTGGACGTTTTCCGGCCCCTGCCCACCCGGCCTTTACTGCGCTGCCTCTCGCAGAGTTATGACCGAAATGTGCAGAGGTTCCTAATTAGGCTGTAAAAATTCACTTTGGGCTGAAATTGGCCATATAAATGCTCGGTGACTGAAAAGCAATTTTGTTTTGTTTTCCTCAACCAAAAAAGGGAGGGAAAAGGTGGTTTGAAAATTAAGTGAAAAATGACAACCGTCCGGATCGTTTGGGCTGTTCAGGCACACCGTTACCGTACCGTCGTCCTTGGTCCGCTCCAGGATGAGGGGAGAGCTGGGGACTCCGTTGCCGATGCGGGTGAACGCCAGCACCTGGAGCTCGTACAGCACGAACTTCCGGAGACCGGCCAGGAGCGCCGACTGCGTGTGGTTCCCTCGCACGACGTGACTGCGGGGCTCAGGGTCCAGGTCTTTGGCCCGGAACAGAATCTGGAATGTCAGCACACAAGCACGCGCGCGTGGTCATGGGGATGCGGGGTGCCAGGAGGGGGCCCTCTCAACCACACGGCACGGACCAGCCAGCTGTGGTTTTTCTCCCACAACAGCTGTGTTTAGGGCTTGCGGATCTAGTTGCCATACGCTATGGTATTTCGGGGGAAGATGCACTCCAGAGCAGAAGAGGACCGGGAGTTACAACCCAGCCCGTGGCTGGGGGAACTGCCCCTGAGCCATGATTGACAAGATCCGAGGCACACTGACCACGCCCGCTAGAACGAGGACTCGGTCGCAAACACAGACGTTATGCTTCCTACAGAAGGAGCCAGCGTCCCCCGCGGTTTCCCAGCTTCTTGGGAAATTGGGCTCCTGACCCAGGAGAGTTGCTGTGAGCCGTCGGAAACACGGGCCGCGGTCCCCCTGGGCTCCATGCTGCCGTCCATGCACAGACACAGCACTCTGGGAGGCTCCCCTCCACGGCCCTGCCTGCGCCTGCCTGTTTGCTCAGTCCTCACTCACAGCTCACCCTTCCCGAACTGGTCCCTTAGTTGGGGACCCAGAGGCCATAAAAGATGGTGGTCCTCAGGGAGGAGCTTGGACACAGCAGGGCAAGCTCTCTTCTCTGGCAGAAGAGTGTGGTGTGGAGTTCTGGTCACTGCACCTGCCCAGTGAGATCACCACGGCCAATGGGGCATGAGGGAGCAATCTGAATGCCCAGGAGAACAGGTGGGGAAAACCAGAGACTGGGGATCGAACCCACAGAAAGCCTGGGGTTCCCGTGCCCGAAGGCTGTGCAGGTGTAACAGACGGGGGAGGCCCTGCTGGTCACATCTAGGAAAATCCATCCCGCTGCTGGGGGGAGGGGATGGAACAGAGCACAGGTGGGTAAGTGCAGGTAAGACCGAACCCGGCAGGGGCTCCCGGAGAGGCAGGAAGGCGCTCGCCCCCGCCTGCTGCCGCCACTGCCCCGGACTGCCCAGGATGCTGGCGTGCCCGCGCACACGCGGGTAGCCAAGAACACCGACTCAGCACGCGCTCGGAGCAAAGCGCATCTCACAAAACCAAACCCCCTTCCTTCTCAGACCAGCCTCAGAGCCAGCCACCACGATCACTCGTGCTGTGCAAGCCGGGAAGCAGAGCCTCGAGTTTAAGCAGCCAGCTCCTAGCCGTGCCTTGTTCGTGCCTCTGTTAGGAGGTTGTACCCAGGCCTCGTCCCCGGATGGGAATGCAGTTTAGAGGAGACGACAGGTGTGACCATCACAACTGTACTGTGGATGGGGGGTGCTGCAGGTCTGGACGGCGCTCTGCGCTCCTTGGTCTGGGGGTGACATGCAGCATGCCTGCACAGCCTACGCACCGGACGGGCACCCCCGACACGCACCTTGTAGCCCAGGATGAGCCCGTTCTGGTCCTGTTCAGGCACGGAAGCCCACGTCAGTAAGATCTGGGTGGAGCTGACGGCCTCAGCGGACACGTTTTCAGGGGCGGCTGAAGGAACTGCGAAGGATGAGTAAGATAGATTGGTACCCAAAGTTCAAAGTCTTTTATAAATAAAGGTTCAATTTTTACCCAATCAAGTTGTCCTTGAAAGAGCAACGAATTCTGAGCATTTTGGTGTGATCAGATTAAGCCTGCAGAGGTATAACAGAAATGTAAATCTCTTTAATATTAGCAACAAATTCCACAAATCCAGGGTATTTAGGAGCTCAACTTTACCTGAGTCTACCCAGCAAGAAAATCTACTTGGTCTGTTTTTATATTAACTTGTGGGAGCTCCAGACTTTGATGGCAAATGGGAAATCCTCACTCTCAGACACCAGTTCAGTGACATCTCTAAATGTGGTATTTTGAGAGGGGCCAGAGGTGCAGGAGAGAGGAGGGGACATTATCATTCACATGAAGGGGAGGGGAGGAAAGATTTCCTAGGTGCTGAGTACACATCCTGTGCTAGGGGTCTTCAGAACCACAGTCCCATCTAATAGCCACAACAGCCCGGAGATGCAGTGGTTATTGGCCCCTTTCTGCAGGTGGAGAGATCAAGGCTGGAGGACTCTCCACACATTCCATTTTTTTTTTTTTCAATGCGATGGGCCTGTGCAGGCAAGTTGTGCAGTTCTTGACCTGTGTATGTGTAAGATGATGTTTTTACTCTCTTCTGTTTATGTATGTCACTGAACTTATTTTAATTTGTCTTATATGTTTGCAGTGATTCGGATAGAATGCATATAAGGACAAGAGTCAAGCTTTACAAGCAAGGCTTTATATTCTAGATCATCTCGATTTGCTTTGAGAATTTCCCTGTGAACCCATTTAAACTTTACTCAGATGGAAAAGATAGATCCAGAGTTCCCCAGCAAAGTCAGGGGATGCAGTGTTCGCAGATAGGCATGGCGCACAAGGAACCTGTCGGCTGTGGCCTGAAGGTCAAACCACCCACGACCCTCCAGAGCCTCCATGGTCGAACAGGAGGAATGCTGCAAGTCCACTGGGTTTCATGGAGAGTAATATGGGGTAGGACTCTGGCATTCATAGTGGGAGGGATCACTCTGCAGAGGAGGGAATGGAGGCTCTGAGCGGTCACACAGCCTGCCCACATCCCTAATAAGCGACAAAATCACCACTTGAAGCCGGGAGGCCTTGAGGTGTTCACAGGGAAGCAACAGGCTCACGGGCTCTGGAGCAAGACCAGACTCAATGAGAATCCCGAGCCGTGTGACCTGGGGAAGCTGCTCTACTCCTCTGGGCCTTGATTGTCCCATCTGTGAAGTGGTCAAGTGTAGCCCACCCCTCCTCGAGCCTGTCTTCTCTCTCCCCCATCCCGTGCCCAGCACTGGGCTTTGCAATGAGCAGGCGATCAGCAGCTCTCTGTTCTGAAGAAGGTGAGACAATGACACCATAAGCTCCCTTCCCTGCGGGAGGAGGGTGGGTGAAAGGCTGCCAAGCACCCAGCACCCACGGTGTCCACTCCCTTCCCCTCTGCAGTCCCACCGGGGCTCTGTGAATGGAGGGAGGGGTGCCTTCACATGCACCTCAGAAGCAGGGACGCTCCACTCACGGGGGCTCTCTCCACCCTCCATCCATAGACCCCCTCGACATTCATTCATTCATTCATTCACACAAGCACTCCTTCCTCCTAGCCAAGCGGTTGCTGGTGGCTAGCTCACTCATTTACTCTGAATATACAAAGTAACGGGGGTTTGCACAATAACGCTGCTCTCCGACATTTGCTTCCTGGATTTTCTTCACTGAAGGGATTTGGTCTTCATTATGGGTTGAATTGTGTCCCCCTCCTCCCCCCCGCCCCCCTCGGCTTCCATACACTGGAGTCCTAAACCCTGGTAGGTCAGAATGTGACCTTATTTGGAACTAGGGTCATTGCAGATGTCATTGGTTAGATGAGGCCACACTGGAGTAGGGCAGCTAATCCAGTACGACCAGTGTCCTTCTAAGAACACCACAGGAAGAGACAGACAGCCGTAGGGAGACCGCCAAAAGGAAGTCTAGAGGGACGCGGCCACGAGCCCAGAAGCCACTGGGAGCTGGGACAGGGCGCTGGAGCAGATCCTTCTCCAGCGTCTGCAGAGGAGCGTGGTCCTGCTGACACGTTGGTGTCCAACTTCTGGCCTTCAGAATGGTAAGAGAGTCAATCTGGGCTGTTTTAAGCCCCCAGTCTGGGGTGCTTTGTTATGGCGGCCGTGGGAAACTAATACTGTATTTAAGGAAAAAAGCTCCAGGATTCACGTAGGTCCTAGAAGCGCTGTTACCTTATCTGGCAGCTTGGCCAGATCACTACAGCAACCAGTGGTTCCTGTAGACAGAGGCTGAGGGGAGAAACCAAGGAAAGCCTGAGAGGGCACGTTGCTGAGGGAACACAGAGCCTGGGGGGGTGGGCAGGACTTGGCACCTTCTGGTCCCCAGAGAGTGGAGTCATGGAGGCCTCCTGGGGGCAAAGACCTCAGCTCCAGCCCCAAGACTGGCTGACTTCCCTGGCCTCCACGGCCCAGTGGCGGTCCTGCCCCCTCTACCCACCACATCGACCATCTACAGAACCCAGGCGTTAGACTGGCTGCCAGTGGAGGTCACCGGGCATGTCCCCAGAACAGAAGAGTCACCTGTTTGTGCCTGTTCGCATAAGGGTTCAGGGATCTTCCTTATACTTTTAGAGAGATAATGCCGGTCAGCCCACACCTGCTAGATACACTTTTTCTTCCCAAATATGTCAGTCGAGAGTCATTCACACGGTTGGTCAGTCGTTCAACAAAACAGTATTAATTTATCTGAGCAGCTAAGTGTCACAAAAAAGAATCTTTATAATTTCAAGCTTACTCAGCCCTCTAAGGGAAGCGTGCTTGCCACCCACGCCTCCCCGCGTCCCCCGTGCCTTTTGGTGGCGGCTCCCGCAGGGCCCACTCATGTTCTCCGTGCCCGACGGGGCTCCCGCCATGCCAGTCACCAGGACATCGCTCACACATATGCTTATTGTATTCAAGAAACAAGGCATACACTGCTGCCTTGATTCGACTGTGACTTAAAAGTCACAACCACTCGAAGAACAGGCAAGCCTACAATTTATCTGACTTTATTTAGAGTCAGATGAGAACTGCGAAGGCGCCGCGTGCCCACTTCTGCAGTGCTGTGTTCTAAGAACTGTCCCTCCCGGTACAGAGAGAGGCCACTGTCAGCAACACAACGCGTCCGCCTCTCCAATCCGTAACCGTTTCCTGCGGGCCCACCTTTGACACCGTGAGTGCTCAGTCCTCACTACGGACGTACAAATAATACTGATTTTCTAGGGTGTGGTAGTATGTGCATCCCTTTCCTGAAGGGCACCCACACCCCCGAAGAAGGAAGGCCCCCCGGCGAGGGGGGTGACCCAGACATGGTGCCGAGAGCTCGGCGGGGTCTCCAAGGACGGAGCCACAGAAAATGGACACATTCCGGATTATAGTGTCAGTGGATTCAGATCCCACCAGGATCCAATCTGCCATTTAGTTACAAAATATCTATTTTTTTTTTTAAAGATTTTTATTTATTTTTTAGAGAGCGAGCGAGAGAGAAACAGCATGAGAGGGGAGAGGGTCAGAGGGAGAAGCAGGCTCCCCGCTGAGCTGGGAGCCCGATGTGGGACTCGATCCCAGGACCCTGGGATCATGACCTGAGCCGAAGGTAGACGCTTAACCATCTGAGCCACCCAGGCGCCCCAAAATATCTATGTTTTTAAGATTTGGTTAAAAAAGAAAAATCTCACCCATTATCTGTTTTGAGGTAGATTAAACTCCCTTTCCAACCTGCCATCTTGTGTTTGGGGACAGTCCTAGAGATTCCCTTTTCATGAAGAACAATCCCGATTAAAACGCTTCTCTTTTCCTTCGTTTGCTCTCTCTCCTCTACAGGATTCCTCACTGCTCAGTCTTTTGATGTTTAGGGCCTCATTTATCCTTATATCATAATAAGTCATAGGATGTCACGAAGCCAGTTAGATCATACCTCAAAATGGGAAATGTCATTTCAGCCTGGTTCAAAATATTCTGCTCTGTGCTTCCCACATCGGCTTTCCGTATGCCCACAACTGTGCCGTACGTGAGTACCCACGTGTGGCCATCTCCACGAGGTACGGGTCTGCAGTTTTATTCTCCCCATCAGCTCCCTCCCCTTCTTCCCTCTCCATCAGCTGCATTCCACCACTGGGCCTTGCAAGCCCTGCACCCTCTCCTACCCACCCCCAAGGGCTGAGCAGTGCCTGGAAGGATCTGTTCTTGGGAGGGGCGAGTCCTCTGCTGGACGGGGGAAGGTAAGACATCGACCCTGCTGCAACGGGGAGGGGCCTGCTGGTCAGAAGTGAGGGGCTGCCCCCAGCAGGAGGTTCTGGAAACACTGTTCAGAGGGGGGAGATGCCGAAGCCCCAAAGGACCAGCAACATTGGAAGGGGTGCCAAAGAATGCCCCAGGTTGGGGGGACCAATGTCTGAGCACCAGGACTCTTGGGGGAGAGATCAGCCTAAGAGGGGTCCCCAGGGGCCCACTTTTCCAGCATTAAAAATGTCTGAAGTCTAGGGGCGCCTGGGTGGCTCAGTTGGTTAAGCGACTGCCTTC